TCACTGCGCTGGTTTGTTTTGAAACACAAAAATCATTTTTTCTTTTTCTTTCTGTGATCTCTTTCTCTTTGATTAATCTTTCTGTCAATCTCAAGTCTCTTCTCATTCTCTAAATTGCGTGCAATCTTCTTAACTTTTAAGTAATCTTTTTTACTCAGCTGGCAAGATGATGGTAAGTACCTGGGGGATTAACTGAAGTTTTAACTAACCTAAGTAACTGTTGAACACTTTACAAACACTTTGCAGATTCTTCGCGGAGCAAACCATCGTCTGGCTGCTGTTCAGCTGCTGGTCAAGCGACANTACTCATCTGGCAAGATGATGGTAAGTACCTGGGGGATTTTGAAGTTTTAACTAACTTAAGTAACTGTTGAACTTTACAAACACTTTGCAGAGTCTCCGCGGAGCAAACCATCGTCTGGCTGCTGTTCAGCTGCTGGTCAAGCGACAGACTTTGGTGGCAGTTCGTCAGCTCAGTACATCACCACCTTCATCACCACTACCTTCATCATCATCACCATCACCAAATGTACCAGTTTATAAAGAAACGCCGCTGTCACAGGTGAAGACGTCCAGCATCGCCGCCGCCGACAGCTACGACATCGTGATCAACGGCGGCGGCATCGTCGGCTTCTCCTTTCTGGCCGCCATCAAATCGCTGCCACACCTCTCCCAGAAGCGCGTCCTCCTCATTGAGCAGCAGAACGAGCCAAAGTTCAAGAGTTCCACTGAAGCTGAGGAGGATCCGCTTTCCGAAAATCGAACCTTCAGCAATCGAGTCTCCTCGCTGACGGCCGCCTCGAAGCGCCTCTTTGAGGAGCTCGACGTCTGGCACTCCTCGTTGGAGCCCTTTGCCAAGCGAGTGGAAGGCATGCACGTCTGGACGGACCACTACCAGAATGCGGTCCACTTTGAGGACAGTAGTGGTGGTGGCGGCCAGGAGGCAACCTGTTACATCGTGGAGAACAATCGGATGATCCGCTCGCTGGTGGAGCGAATTCGCGCCGACCAGGCGGAGGTTGCCTACAGCACCAGCGTCCAGGAGATTGAGCAGGTGAAGAAGGAGGTGGACGATGACAGCTCATTTCGAAACGAAGCGACCTCCATCCTCCTTCGACTTTCACCCACTTCAAGCTTTGAAAGGTCCTCCTCGAGTGTCCTGCAGACCAAGCTGCTGATCGGCTGCGACGGCTTCCGGTCGCTCGTCCGCTCCCGCTCCACGCTGCCCTACTACGCCGCCGAGCTGGCGCAGATGGGCATCGTGGGCACTCTTCAGCTGGAGTCGCCCTTCGCCGGAAACGCCGTCGCCTTTCAGCGCTTCCTCGCCGACCAGCTGGTCATAGCCCTGCTGCCCCTCTCCCCGCGCCACGCCAGCTTCGTCCTCTCCGTGCAGAGCAAGGACCTGGACGGGTGGATGAGTCTGGCGGATGAGGACTTTGTCCATCGGCTCAACAGTGAGATCAGCCGGGAGGTGCGCACCGGGCCGGTGGACCGCTTCGCCGCGGAGCTCTCCAAGGTAAGTGTCGGAACTGATTTTGTCCTGTGATTTAGAATTAAAAGTTTTTGGTCCTTTTGAAAAGGCATTCACCGGCTTTCTGGTGAACAAGCAGCAGTCGCCCTTTCAGTCTCGAGTGCCGCCCTTCATCACCGAGGTCGTTTCCGGCTCCAGGGCGGCCTTTCCGCTCGGCTTCGGCACGACAGTGCCCCGCCTGGCGGGCACCATTCAGACGAACAACTTTTACGTGCGGGAGCTGCTGAGGAAGCGGGACTTTGCCAATACTGTCATTATGGGTAAGTTTCCACTTTTGAAGCATTTTCGAACTTTGTCTAACTCCCTTCTCCACGTCCACAGGAGACGCCGCCCACCGCGTCCACCCCCTGGCCGGCCAGGGCCTCAATCTGGGGCTGGGGGACGCCCACGAGCTGGCGCTGGCGCTGGAGGGCGCCCTGTCGCAGGGCGCCGAACTTTTTGGCGACACCGTGGACTCGGCGGAGGCGCTCACCAGTGCGCTGGCCGCCTTTGAGCGGGCCCGCGTCGCGAAGCTGGTGCCGATGATGGGCGCCATCCACTCGATGCAGACGCTGATGGCCTGGACGCCCGCCGCCCTCCTCTCCGCCCTCAACGCCCTGCCCTGGCTCAAGTCGCAGGTGGTCTCCTACGCCAACTCGAGATAGTGCCCCAAGTGGTGGTAGTGGTAGTGATGGTAGTGATTGTGGTGATCCCCATTTTCTTTCTACTTTTTCACCGAAGTTTTTCAGCGGTGATTTGTACAAATACGAAGACGACGGATGTGCGCTTTGCATTGCTATTTGTGTCCTCGTCCACTTCGTTCCCTTCTATCGTCCGGTCATAATCCACCGCCAAATATAGTCCTACGTACCTACTCTTTTCTTTCCTTTTGAAAAACGGCGGTTATTAGCTTGGTTTGGTGGTGTGTTGATTCGCTAGCCTAGTCTAGCAGTCTAGGGGACTAAAAATAGCCAAAACAACAAAACCACCTGGGAACTCGTGAACAAATTGGAACACTCCAGCAGCAGCAGCAGAAGCAGCAAATGTCTAGTGCAAGTTTTCCTCTTTAACCGCAAAAAAAGAGGCCCCGTTTAGCCAACAAGCTCGAGGTGTTGGGTAAACAAACAAACAAGCAAACAGGCAAACAAGTACAAACACAAAAGCGAAGCGGTCTCTGCTTCTTCGACGGATGCTAAAATTAAAGAAGAAAGACCACCACTAAATACCACTTTCGCCCAATGTGTTTGCCCACATTCAATTTCCAGTTTTCCTAAACCACCAAAATTGAGCAAAGTGTCCGGGCGAAGGTTTATAAAAGCCACCTGGGCGCGCAGACTGAAGTGTGCAGTGTCGGTAAAGTGTATCACAGTCTTCTCCGTTTCTAAGATGGTCGCCACTCTTCGCCAGCTGCTGCTGCTCGCCCTTGTGGCCACCACGTTCACCTTTCACCCTTCTACTGGCCTGGAAGTTTCTAGTCAACACTCACAAAAACGGAATTTTCAAAATTCACCACCGGAAAATGGCACCGAAGTGCCGCAGTACCCGCTAGCATCGTCAAACAGTGAAAACAGTGCAAATCTTGACCCGAACAGTGGGGGTCGAAACGGGCGCACCTTCTTCGGCGACATTGGTGGCTTCCTCCGCCCCTCCATCTTCAACATTGTCCGCTTCCCCAATGAGGAGTGCCTGGACGCCAGCAACCAGTCGGGCACCTGCTACACGGCGCTGGAGTGCAAGAAGCTGGGCGGAAACCCGAGCTCAAAGTGCGCCCGCGGCCTGGGCACCTGCTGCATTAGTAAGTGTTTCGATGTTTCGGTATTTGTTTTTGGCTGATCTCTAACCTCTTTCTATTTCTATTTCCACCCCTGCAGTGTCCCGCACCTGCCACAACTCCACCTCGAACAAGGTGGTCTACTTTCGAAATCCCAGTTTTCCGCTGACGGACGCCGGCCAAAACTTCTGCGACCTGACGGTGAACATCTACGACCCGGACATCTGCCAGCTGCGCATCGACTTTCTCGAGTTTCAGATTGACCCGCCGCTGAACGGCGACTGCGTCGGCGACAAGTTCACCGTCACGGCCAGCGGCATGACGCCCACCTCGGTGCCCGTCCTCTGCGGAAACAACCGCAACCAGCACAGTGAGTGTTCTATTTCTCTTTTTGACTTTTCTGGACTCTATTCTTCTTCCATTTTTTCTAGTTTACGTCACCCTGCCCACCAATACCGCCGAGCGCTCGGTGTCCATCGTCTTCGAGACAAACTCCTTCGGCGACTACCGCTGGCACCTGAAGGTGACGCAGATTGACTGCCGCATCCGGCAGCCCTCGGCCACCACCTCGTCGACCTCCTCCTCCACCGTGGCGATGAACCCGCTGACCGGTCTGCCGGCCGTTTCTCAGATCCAGTTCCGCCGAAAACGGCACATCTACCAGAAGATCCCCTACCAGCTGACCTTCCCCGCGCCCACCGGCTGCCTGCAGTACTTCATCGCCCCCTCGGGCACCATCGAGTCCTTCAACTTCGGCAACTACCTCAACAACCTCGACTACGCCATCTGCATCGAGCGGCAGCCGGACACCTGCCGCCTCCTCTACACCGCCTCCGACGCCAACTTCGGCATCAAGGGCGGCGGCAATGTGATCAGCTCGATGAGCGGCGTCGGCGACCAGGACTGCCCCGATGACTACCTCCTGCTGACGGGCGGCTCCGGCAACGGCGAGGGCCAGACGAAGGACCGCTTCTGCGGCGGCGTGCTCAGCTTCAGCAGCGGCGGCGGCACACCGCAGACGGTGATCAGCAAGGCCAACGGGCCCATTGTCATTCGCTTCCACTCGGACACGACGGCGGCGCAGGACCTGAAGGAGGGCTTTCGCGTCAAGTACGAGCAGAGTCCGACGGACTGTGCCGTGCTAAACTCGGGCACCATCAATCCGAACAACATCGGCCTGAACGGGCAGCCGACGCCGGTGCTGGCGGCGCTGACCGGCGGCTCCAAGGACAAGATTCCCATTCCGGTGTCGATGGCCAGCGCCGGCCCGGTGAGCACAGCGTCGGAGACGAAGAGTGGCGGCGGCGGAGGCGGCGGTGGCGGAGGAGGCGGAGGCACCGAAGTAGTAAAAGCAAGGTCAAACGGAAAGATGTTGAGCTTCTGAGGATTTCGATGTTAGCCTGTAAAATTGTAAATAGTCATTATCACCAAAAAAAGTAAAATACCAAAATCAAACTCCGTGATTTAGAAACCGCTGCAGCGTAACGTCCTCTGCGGATGGGCGGCGCTGCTTTACACTTGGCCAACACACTTTGCCAACACAAAGTACACAATCACCTTGCGCTCTGTTTGGCATCTCTGTTCACGCGAGAGAGCGAGACTTTCTTTTTCTGGTCATCAGTTTCTTCTGGTTGTTGGCTCCTTCTTCTCCTGGTCCTGGTCCTGGTCCTCACCATCTCCTTCTTCAGTCTACAGCAATCCCTCCTTCTATTGGGCAAGATGATGAACGCCAATCTGAAGGCTCTGCGCGCCGCCGCCACCAACGCGAGCATCGCCTCGCGCTGCCTGGCCACCCAGGCCGCCCCCAAGTCGGCTGCCTCGCACTCCTCCTCCCACAGCAGCTCCTCCAAGCCCGGCGAGGTGAAGATCTCGAGCATGCCCTCCGGCGCCAGCATCGCCTCGGTCGCCTCCGACTCGGCGCTCGCCCGCGTCGCCATCGTCTTCAAGGCAGGCGCCCGCTACGAGCCCGCCGACCAGCTCGGCCTGACGCACGCCCTCCGCCTGACGGCCGGCCAGTCGACCGAGAATCACACCAGCTTCGGCCTCGTCCGCAACATCGACTACTTCGGCGGCCGCCTGGTGGTGGCTGGCACCCGCGACACCGTCACCTACCTGCTGGAGGTGCACAACGACGAGGAGATCCTGCCGCGGAACTTCGCCCTCCTCGCGGAGACCGTCGCCCGCCCCGCCTTCAAGCGCTGGGAGCTGCCCGACAACACCGAGCGCGCCCTTGCGGAGCTGTCCATCCTCGAGGACAACCCGCACATCAAGCTGGCGGAGGCGCTGCACGCCGTCGCCTGGAAGGGCGGCCTCCGCAAGTCGCTCTACATGCCCCGGTTCATGCTGAACAAGCACACCGGCGAGCAGCTGAAGAAGTTCATCGCCAACCGGTACGTCTCCCCGGTGGTGGTGGGCGTCGGCGTCGAGCACCAGCAGCTGGTGGACCTGGTGGGCAGCCACCTGAGCGGCCTCAGCTCGCACCAGCCACCCAAGTGCGTCACCAGCTTCATCGGCGGCGAGACGCACCTGGAGGCCGCCAGCCCGCTCACCTACGTCGCCCTGGCTACTGAAGGCGTTGGGTAAGTGAAATTGTGAGACGTGTGTTTTAGGTTTTGTTTACTAATGTCTTCTTTTCTTACATTTCTTCAGCCTGAAGAACACCAAGGAGGCCCTGGCCCTCTCCCTCTTCCAGACGATCCTCGGCAACGGCCCGCAGATTGCCAGCTTCAGCGGCCTCTCCAGCAACACTCGCCTCGGCAAGGCCGTCGGCGCTGCTCTGGGCGGAAAAAGTAGCGACAACGTCGCCGTCTCCGCCTTCAACTTTGCCTACGAGGAGACGGGCCTCTTTGGCATCAATCTGATCGCCCCGAAGTCATCGGACGTGACCGGCCTGCTGAAGGCCGCCGTGAAGGAGCTGCGCGCCGCCGCCAGCAGCGTCACCGACGCCGAGCTCGCCGACGCAAAGTAAGTGCTCTTTGGGATTGTTGATTTTTAAAAATTTTGTTCTAATTCTTTTCCTTTCCTTTCCTTTTCCTGCAGAAAGAACCTGAAGACCGCCGCGCTGCTCGCCGTGGACACCGGCGACGCCCTGGCCACGGAGCTGGGCGCCCAGCTGGCGCTGGTCGGCTCGCAGGTGGACACCGCGAAGGAGGTGGACGCCATCACCGCCGCCGACGTCAAGTCAGTCGCCGGCCGCCTGCTGAAGGGCAAACTGGCGCTGGCCACCATCGGCCCGAATGCCCCTTACCTCGATGACCTGGTCTGAATTGGAGGAGGAACCAGATGTAAGCAAACAAAGTAGCCATTTTCTCCTTTATTCTTGTTTTTCTTCCTCCTCCTCCTCCTCTTATTTCTACTCCAACACACAACCGCCCACACTCGAGATTAGCTGCCCCCCTCCCACGGCCTCCCTCACATACTGTAAAAATTTTAATTTATGTGTGCTATTAAAGCTAACAAAGCAATCACAAAAAAGTGAACAGTCAGATTTTGTACACAAACTTGGGTTGTGTATAAACCTGGGCAAATCTTATCATCTTGGGAAAGTGGTTTTTGTGGTGGTGGTGGTGGTGGGGTACCACCAACACCACTCGACTCGTTCTCGTCGTTTTAGTTTGCCTCAGGTGGTTGAACGCAGCGGCCGCTGACGCAGATCTGTGACATCGGAAAAAGAAAAGAACGAGTCGGTTTTAGAAACGACATTTTTGTTTACCGCCATTTTTTTCTATTTCTACTTACCCGTTTGGGCAGCTGCGGACAGGCCTCGCCCTCGTGGAGGTTCGCCGTGTGGAGGTAGCAGTTGGGGGCGCCGTGGGCGTTGATGCCCCCCGGGGCACCGTTGCCGCTGGGCCGGCAGACGTTGTACTCCTCCCGACAGCCGTCGTTGAGTATCCAGCCGTGGACTAGGCCCCGGTTCGAAATGGCCAGAATTGCCACCATCAACAACATCGTCGCAAACAGAGCGGAGCAAAAAAGCTTCATTGTTTTTTGGGTGAGGTGATATTTGTAGCTAAGGGTTTGGTGTGTGTTCCAGAGTGTGAAGCCATCGTTGTGGTTTGCCTTTTCTTTTTATATGGCCGTAAACAAAGGTCTGATCAGATGTTGTGATGATTGTGATTGCTGCTGCAAATGATGATGATGATGATGATCACGATCAGATTTGGCTTCTACTTGAGATGGTGATTGCACTAAAGCTTAGTGGTGGTGGTGGTGGTGGTGGTGGTTTATCCTCGTGATGTCAGATGATTAAAAGATGATGATGGCAGTTTTATTTTACAAATTGTTTGGCGCATTTTGGTGCAAGATTCGCCGCGATCACGGCCAGTCATTGAAGAGGAATGGCATTCCAAACTTTCGTGGTATTTAGTGGAAGTAAAATGTATTTGATAAAAGTGATTTGATTCTCCTCGATGCTGATCATTACTGAAAACCGAAATTTGATACCATTGTCGAAAATGCTGCTCATCTTTGAACTTCTCCTTATCAGCACTATTTTCATCGCCCACCTCTCATCTCGACTATTCTGAGCAGGTGGTCACAGTTTTTGTTTTTTTGATTAGCTCTAGCTACTCTCTTTGTTCGCTAAAACTGAACTGTGATTCACTTGTCTATCTCTCTTCTTGAAAGCAACAACTCTGGCAAATCTGATTCTCCGGAAAATCGAACCTTCCGAAACCATGCCACCACGTCGCCCTCTTCCAGATCTAGTCCTCATCACCGTCTTTAAGCAGTTGACGCCCAACAACCAGCTGGTGGCCAGCCTGATGAGCTCCCGATGCAGCACTCTGGTTCGCGTGGCCAATCTCAAGGTGAGCGCCCTTGCCATCACCTACGCCTACGGCTTCGACAACCACCTCAGCATGCGCTACATGGAGGCCAATATCAATCTCTTCCCGGTGGATGAGTGGGCGCCTAGCTTGCGTCAGCAGCAGCAGCAGGAAGATGCCGCGGGCCCATACCGCCTGACCCAGTGGAACAGCCTGCAGTTCCACAGGCTGGACACGGCCACCGCCCTGCAGATCGTCGCCATCTTCCCCGGCGTCATCGAGTTCACCTTCATCTCCTGGTACACTGACGTCCTCCACCAGCTGGTGGCCATGCTGGAGGCGGAGCAGTGGCGTCGCCAGCTGCTCTACTTTGTCCTCGTCGACTACCACGGCGAGGATGATGCGCTCATCTCGCCGGAGCTGAACGGCCGCCTCATGGCCGCCGTGAACGCCCTCGAGAAGCTCGACACTCTGGTGTTTCGCCTCAAGACGCGCAGCATCAGCGTTCTCTACGAGCTGCCCATTGCCGCCCGTCTCCGCGCATTTGGAATTTCCACTTCGGTTTGGGGGAACCGAAATGAGGAGAGCCGGTTTCTGCCCTTTTTGGTTCGAGGTTTGGGCAGTAACGACGCTCTAGATGCTCTAATCAACTGGAATCGCTTATCGGGAAAGGAGCTTCGAGACTATGATCCTCTTAAACTGCCGGGTGAAGATTTTTTGGTTTTTGAAGGCTTTGAGGGCTTTGAGGGCTTTGAGGACTTTGGGGACTTTGGGGACTTTGGAGACTTCGAGGACAATGAGGACGATGAGGACAATGAGGACCATAAGGACAATGAGGACGACAATGAGGACAACGATGACAACGGCGACGATGATGACGATGACCAGTGAGATGATAGAATTGCCTTGTTTTTATTTGCAGTCTTAATCAGCCGTAAACGCCGTAATTTATGATAAAGGAGAAAAACCGTAGCTTAACTTTTTAAATTGTCGTTTCTTCTCTTTCTTTCCGTTTCTTCAGTGTGTGTGTTTGACCCTTCTTGTTCGCCTTTGTTACAGTGCCCTTATCAGCAGTTAAAGTTACAATTTTTTTTATTAAAGACAAAGAAGCCAACTAAATGAACAGTTAGAATGTTTGTACAAAAAAAGAACAGCTTGGGGGATTTGTGTAACATTAAATTACCACCTGCCATCTGTCGACTGGTCAGACTACCTTTTTCGCCCTCTCTTGCTGACAGCGATGAAGAAGAGTCAACAACACAGTCGACCAACCAGACCTCTGCATTTGCACCAGCAACAATATTTTGCGTAACCAACACAAACGGTTTTAATCGGGGTTTCCCCCCTCCCTCTCAAACTTTGCTGATATGCAAGTGGGCGTCAAGCTCAAGTGATAAACACTGTCACCACAGCGGCTACTGTTACTGCAAAGCTACTGTTTAATAAAGTAGCATCTCCTCATGTCAGCAGTAGCAGCAGCAGCACTTCGCACTTTTAGTTCGGCAGCAGCCAGCAAAATGTCGGTCGGTCGTTACGAGCACCTGGTCTTTGTCTACGGGACGCTGAAGCGAAGTAAAAACCAACGGGCAAAGCCAACAGAGGATTTCAACAGGGTTTTAATGACCTTCTTTTTTCTTTTCTTGCTTCTGCTCTTCTAGATCAGCCGAACCACGCGTACATGATGGACCCGGCCAACGGCCGGGCGGAGTTCGTCTGCACGGCGCGCACCGAGGACCGCTACCCGGTGGTGATTGCCTCGCAGTTCAACATTCCCTTTCTGCTGAACAAAGCGGGCACTGGTCATGTAAGAAGAAGGAGACCCATTTTTGAGTGATTCTTGCGTTGACTGAATTCTTCTTCTCCACCCACCACCAGCAAATAAACGGCGAGGTCTACTCGCTGGACTCGAAGATGCTCGCCTTCCTCGACGACTTTGAGGGCCACCCCGCCTACTACACCCGCCGGGAGACGGCCACGCTGAGGACGGACGACAACTCCTCGGTTCCCCTTCAGCTTCGGCCCTGGATCTACACGCTGAACCGGTACAAGCCGGAGATGCTGGCGCTGCCGATGCTGGCCACCTACGACTCGCGCGGCGACCACGGCCTGCCCTACGTTGAAAGGTTGGAACGGCAGGGCGCGGAGAACGCCCACTGCGGCCACACGGAGATGGGCGAGGTAGTGGAGACGACACTGACGACCGCGTTTCTCTCCTCCCCCTCCCCCTCTAGTGAGGCGACCACCAGTCTGGAGGACCTCGAGGAGCTGGTGGACTTTATGAAGGCCGGTCAGGCCGGGGAGGAGGATAGTGATGGAGCATCACCACAGAGTGAGCACAACAAGGAAAAGAAATAAAAAGTGCGTCGATGATGATGTGGAGGAGGATGATGATGGTCACAGTCGTTGANAAAGGTTGGAACGGCAGGGCGCGGAGAACGCCCACTGCGGCCACACGGAGATGGGCGAGGTAGTGGAGACGACACTGACGACCGCGTTTCTCTCCTCCCCCTCCCCCTCTAGTGAGGCGACCACCAGTCTGGAGGACCTCGAGGAGCTGGTGGACTTTATGAAGGCCGGTCAGGCCGGGGAGGAGGATAGTGATGGAGCATCACCACAGAGTGAGCACAACAAGGAAAAGAAATAAAAAGTGCGTCGATGATGATGTGGAGGAGGATGATGATGGTCACAGTCGTTGAAACCGTAGCACGGAGAGCTTCTCAAGGCCGCACCGCCTCGTGAGAACGGTGCTGGTGGAAAAGCCGAGCTCTTTTGCAGCTTCGCCTAACTGCTCCAGATTGTTCGGCTCAATGACGACGAGGTACGCCAGGCCGGTGTCGCTTAGCGTCCGCCCTAGACAGTCGGCGAGGAACTGGTCGATGATCTTGCGTCCGTAGAGGCCGCCTGCCCACGAGGCAGGGAGACCGGGCTGAATCTGAGTGGAAAAAAAGAATTAGAATGCTAAAGTGAAATCGAAATCGAACTGCCGCCTACCTCTTCATCAGCGGTCGGAACGTAGGGCGGATTGAAAATGAGCAGATCAATCGATTGCTCTAGTCGGTCAGCCAGTGCACCGGTTAGGCTCGTCTGTACGGTTTGAATATTAGCTGATGAAGGTGAATTGAGATTCAGCTGCGAGCAGCGTCGGGTGCACTCCAGCGCTTCGGGGTTGATGTCAGTGGCTCTGAGGTTTGGGGGTGAAGTAAACTGTTGATCATTTCAGAACGATGATAATGAAGATGATGATGCTTACAGGTAGAGCCTCTGACTCGGTCCCAGCGCCTTTGCCACCGAGGTGATCACCGCTCCGGAGCCGCAGCCCACTTCCAAACAAAACAGTGGACTTTGCAAAAAGGTTACAAGTTGTTTTAGAACTTTGACAAAAATTCATACAAAAAACTCACTTCAGCCCTTTGATGCGCTCCAGGTCCGCCTCCAGCGCGTCCAACAGAACAAAAGTGTCCTCCGCCGGATTGTAAACACTTCTACTGAAAAAGTCCTC